GAGGCTGAGGCAAGAGAATCGCTTAAGCCCAGGAGTTGAAGGTTGCTGTGAGCTGTGATGCCACAGCACTCTACCCAGGGCAACAGCTTGAGGCGCTGTCTCAAATAAATAAATAAATAAAAATTTTAAAAAGCTGGGTGTTGTGGTGGGGGCCTATAGTCTCACCTACTTGGGAAGCTGAGGCAAGAGAATTGCTTTAGCAAGAGTTTGAGGTTGCTGTGAGCTGTGATGCTACAGCACTCTACCGAGGGTGACAAAGTAAAACTGTCTCAAAAAAAAAAAAAAAAAAGACATTCTCCTAGATAACCATCAAAAACAGAAAATTAATGTTGACACATTACTACCACCTCATCCCATTAAGTTTCACAAATTTTTCCAATAATATCTTAAATACTCAAGGATCCAGTCCAGGATCACACTTGTATTTAGTTGACATATCTTTAGTCTCTTTCAATCTACAACAGTTCCAAAGTCTTTCCTTGACTGTTATGACTTGACAATGAAGTTTATAAACCAGTGATTTTGTAGGATATCCCTTAATTTGGGTTTGTCTGGTATTTCCTCATGATGATATTCAGGTTATGCATTTTTGGCAGGAATATCACAGAAGTGATGCTGTGTTCTTGTCAGTGCAGTTCCTATCAGGGCACATATGATTTCAATTTGTACCACTGATGTTAACTTTGATCACTTGATTCAAGTGGTAAGGGCTTTTCCATTGTAGGGTTATTCATTTCCCCACTGTAATTACGTAGTACTTCATGGGTTTTCTCCACTTCAATTATTGAAATTCTGTTCAAAGAAACAGCTCAAACACCACCTTCTTCAACCTTTCTAGATCCTCAATTTCTCATTCTCTCTCTCTTTTTTTTTTTTTTGAGACAGTCTCACTGAGAGTTGACATATACCTAGCCATTTGTTTAACTGTTCATTTTCCCAACTTTGTTTTGTTCACTTAGAATAGTGCCTGGCCTAAAGCAAGCTCTCAATAAATACTTGTTGAATGAATGAATGAATGACTCCAACAAGGCACAGACAAGATAGCTGACTTGCTTACGGTTGCACAACTCTGTACCAAGAGTTACTAACAACACTAGTAACTCTTGATACAAACTTTACTGCAGCTTCCTGCTACAACGCAGACACTTAAAGAATAACAAATAAAGACAGAGGCAGCTTGGCAAAGAGAGGAATAAAGGAGGCACAGATCGAAGAGTGAGAGAGAGAGGAGATTGACAGTTAGGGCAAGACTCCTGATCCAGGGCGGGATTTTGCGCTGGGATAATAAACGAGGGAACCCCAGAATCCGGGTGCGTGTCTGTCCCGGGTGGGGGAACAGGTAATCTTTCCTGTTCCAGGCCTCAACTTACCCATCTGTAAAGCGAAACTAGCAGACAACACAGAACGCCTCTTCTAGATCTGACGTTCTTTAATTTCCCAGCCCCCCCGGGGCAACCCGCATTTCCCCTGTAGTTGACCCGCGCTAGCTCACCTCCCGTTAGCTCAACCAGAAGTGCCAAGGCCGCCGCCAGAGACCGCGCTTCCGCCCCACGCCGCGGCAACGCCTGCGCCTAGCGCTGGGAAGGACCCCGCAGACGACAAAGTCGCGTTTCTGCCGCAGAGGACAGCCCTCTGCCTGAGGATCGGTTCCAAGGAATGCCGGCCGCGAAAATAGGAATAGGCAAGGTGGAGTTGTAGGTCTCCAAACCACAATGTGTGCTACCGAAGAGAGTGAGGCCTGACAACACATGAATCTTATCAGGCGCCTCGCAACCACCCTGTATGGAGGGGGCCTTCGGGCCGATCACGTGGGCAGACTGTTGGAGCAGTTGCTAGGCAACCACAGCGGCTGTGCCTGGTCTGCGCTGCCTTTCTGGCATATCGCGGGATCCCCAAAGAAAGCCCGGGGACCAAGACCCAGGCTGCTGGAGTCTGGGTGGCTGAGTAAAGGGGGCAGGAGGATTAGTTCTAGTTATTCAGTGACTGGGGAGGGCTGAGAACTGGTCAGGAGCCCGGACACCCGAGTTACTGGTCGGTTCATTTCCCTTCTTGGTGTTCAGCTTCCCACGTTGGGGCGGGGTGGCTATGGGGTTGGTTGCATACCTCCTGCCTCCCTGCTCTAGGACTGTTCATGATGACTCTGTCTGCACATCTAGCTCAACTCACCACTAGTCTGAGGTTCAGAGAGGTCTCACAAGTAAATGCTAGAGCCAAGACTCGAACCTGTATAGATAATCTCTCTGTAGAAATGGTCAATCAGCCCCGGATACGCAGAGGCTGCAAACATACAGCCTTTAGAACTAAAGGCATTTTCCAGATACCTGGGAACCTGTGCTCCAGCCCTGAGCTGGGCAGAGTGATTTAAGGAGTGAAGACGATTAAGCTCCTTTCTCAGCCACTTGTATTAGATTTCCTGTACAGTCATTGCATCTGGTTGGTTTAAAAGAAAGTTTCCTTCTTCATTAAGATATTTAATGAAGGATGAAACTTTCCTCCCCGCCCCCTCCCCCAGCTTAGAGTTCTGTTTGGTTTTTTTTCAATTAGCTTTTTCAGGTTGAAGAGTTCTGCTTTTGTGTGAGTCCTATCGCAACCACTTGCTATAGAGCTATCCTATGTGGAAGAGCAAAGGGGCTGAATTCTGGAATCCAAATGCTTCCTCTGCTGGAGCATCAATATTAAAAGGATTGGTGGGGGTTGGTGGCTCAGGTCTGTAATCCTAGCACTCTGGGAGGTTTAGGAGGGTGGACTCTTTGAGCTCAGGAATTTGAGACCAGCTTGAGTAACAGGGAGATCCCGTTTCTAAAAATAGAGAAATTAGCTGGGCATTGGGGCAGGAGCCTGTTGTCTCAGCTACTTGGGAGGCTGAGGCAGGAATATCACTTAAACCCAGGCGTTTGAAGTTGCTGTGAGCCAGGCTGATGCCATGGCATTCTAGCCTGGGCAACAGAGTGAGACTCTGTCTCAAAAAAAAAAAAAAAATTAAAATTACTTTTAGAAGAAGAGAACAAAATTCAAGCAGGGTTCCAAATTGAATGTCTGGACTTTATTCTATTTTCAGTGACAAGTCTTTTTTAAGTCTTCACTGTGCAATTCAGCCTGTCTCTATACAGTACAACTCCACCTCCTCCCCCAAGCCAAGATAAGTGGCATGCTCTCCAGAGTGCTTTAGGGTCATTTTGCATTCCGGCAAAGAATCCAGAGGGACCCTCTTTCCCTTGATCTTGACCCTCCACTGATGTGCATTCCCTTTGTCTTCCCAGGCCATGGAAAAGAATGACACCATCGATTTCAAGGCTCTGGAGAAAGAGCTTCAGGCTGCACTTGCTGCTGATGAGAAGTACAAACAGGAGAATGCTGCCAAGTTACGGGCAGTGGAACAGAGGGTGGCTTCCTATGAGGAGTTCAGGTTGGCTCATGGGCATTTTTTTCAAGCCCTGTTTGACTTACTATAGTGGTTAACAGCAAGTGATCTGGAATCAAACCATTCTGGGTATCACTCCTGGGGCATTTGGGGGATCTTGTGCAATTCTTTAATGTCTCAGAGCCCTAATTCCTCATCTGTAAAAGAGAGCAACTTGTTACAATTATATGAGCTACTGTACATAAGATTCTGAGCAGTGTCTGGCACATGTAAAATGCTTGAAAGTGGTCAGCTATCATTGCTGTTGTTATTGTTTTTTTTTTTTTTTTTT